AACGCAGCTTCGGGTGGTGCCACCTGAATTGAACCAATTAAGGGAGTGTAAATTAACAGGGTGCTGGTCAAGAAAAATTGAATGTGCTAGGGTGCACTTGGAAGCATCAAGGTAGTGTTGCAGAGTGGTAGTGGATGCAGCAGCATACAAGTCTAGATTTGAGATATAAAGATCAGTACGAAATATGATGCGCAGTATACGGCGATGGAGAACTTCTAATTTACATATGTGGGTTTTGATGGACCAGGCAGGGAAGCCGTACGTGAAGAGGGGAAGAATGTATGATTTATAAAAATTAATCCGGCAATTTTGGGGCAAATGGGACAAGTGACTTGACATTATGCCGACAGATCGGCATACTTTGGACCACACACGATCAGCATGGTGAGACCAGGAGAGGGCGGAATCTATGACATTGCCAAGGTGTTTATGGTGGGGCGCTACAGAGATAGGGTGACCGGGATAATCGAGAAAGTGGAGGATGTACACTGGATCTGTGGGAGGGGGAAAAGGAGGAGCTCGTTGATAATGTAGAATGGCTAACAGATAGTGAACTTTACCCCTTTGTAGCAAAAAATAGGGAAAACAAAATGGCACATCTTAGTTCCAAAAAGGGGGGAAACATTTTGGCGTATCTTAGGCGCGAAGATGAAGCCGCGAAGATTAAGGCTAAGCAAAAGCGGTGTGATGTGGCGGTTAATAAAAATCTGGACAAGGCCGAATGCTGCCCCTTACCCCTCTTGGTCATACGTAAATGCGCCAGTCAAGTAGCAGCCGATGGTGGAGACGAGGAGACTAATGAAGAACGACGGAAACTCGGCAGCGACATTTAAGGAAGATTCGGAATGGCTGTGACGCTCTAATTTCAACTACAGGCGGATGTCAAACCATGGCGCAGTGTCAAGAGCGAATGCCTCATGGGCCTCGCGAATGATACTTTGTGAACATGTGTTTGTCACTTCGTCTCTTCATTGCTAAGCTACGGCATTATCATGGCAACTGAAGAATGGCTGTGACGTGACAATGGTGTGGTGCTGTGCTGTGTGGTGAGTGAGTGGACGGAGTGAATGCCCCAGAGGTATCTCGCGTTGCTACATGCCCTATGCTGTGCCATCTATCGAAGTCACACCTGGCCATCACTAGATGACCGTACTCTAACTTAGACACTTTATAGTACTGGTATCCTCAGTGTAGTCTATCATTATCGCCTTTGCTTAGCCTTAATCTTCGCGCTTTAATCTTCGCGTCATAATGGTGCCCCCTTTTTGCGCCTAAGATGTGCCATTATGTTTCCACCTTGTTTTTGGTACAAAAGAGTGAAGTTCACTATCGTTTATCCATTCTACATTATCAACCTTCACTGACGAGATCCTGATGATCGAAACAGCTGCTGTCTGAAGGAGCAGAGTACCAACTGAAGTGTCGTTTTGCTGATGGTGTGCTGTGGCAACGTGTTGAGGTCGGCCGGAGAGCGCAGCGGTGTGGTGTGGTGGTTGATAAGAATCTCGGCAAAGCCGAATGCTGCTACTTACCCCTCTTGATCATACCAAATTATGCCCATTATTATGCCGGGATAATCCGCCGGAGCCTACTACACGACGTAGGCTAGTCAAAGTGGTAAACGAAGAATCAATCAACATCAATTGAACATGGGTTTGACCGTTTTAAAAAGGCGCTAGTGTGATGGCTTTTATATGTCCCTGTATATTCCAAAAATGGATGCATGCATCTGCGCAATCCACACTAGTCCAAATGAAAACTATAATTTGTTTAGAACCGAACGTTTTCGTTCATTCTCTCCATGCTAGAGGTCTTAAAGGGAATATAGCGAAAATGGGGATACATGTACGTTCAATTAGTTAGTATTAGAGTTTCATCTTCATGCTGTTTTTGACCCGAAAATGTTTTTCTAGGGTGATGTTTATGTCCCTCAATGCTTTGCCCATGTTATAATTTGCTGTCTTAGTCATATTTGAAAAGGCAGCGACGGCAGTCAGTTGACAACAGTGTTTCTTCAGCTGGTTCTGTGTATTGCAATCCTTACACTTTCTTAATAAGTACTTAAATATTTAAAGTATAATTCTTTTTAATAATATTATTATTTTAATGACTAAGATAGTTTAACTATCTTAGTCATTTTTGCTGTATTCCCTATAAGAGCCTATGAAGAGAAGGGAACGAAAATGTCCGGTTTTTAAATTCCCTATTGTTGATTTGGACTGGTGTGGATTACGCAGATGCATGTGCTTCATTGAAGAATTTCCTTCAATCAATTAGTATTTTAGTTCAGTCTTTATTCCAGATTTCTTATTGGTTATTCTGCTGTGCGATGCTTTTTTGGTAGGAGACTAGCAAATCAAGCATCTGCTCGTGCATCACGAGAACGAGAGAAAGACTATATCAAGAATTTGGAGTCGGAAGTGGAGAAATTGATTCAGGAGGTGAGTCCTACTGGACCTATTATCCATGTTTTATAATTATCATTATACACAAGAGAGGTTGGAAGCTATCACTATCGCCTAGTATGTCGTTGAGACTGCCAAGTAATGTAGAGATATGGGTGATTGCCAACAATGGCCTATAGGATGATTCAAGCAAGAGAAGCGACAAAGAGAGCTAGTAACAGATATCTCATTCTCGAGTTCTCGTGTCAGCAGAGCATGCCTACTTCTATTCGACCATCTGTCATTGTAAACAAGGCGACCACTACTCTTCCTTGTGCGTTTATTGTTGTATGCAGAATGTCGAATTGAAGGGGAGAGTCAATTTTTTGAAGACCCTACAGAAGAATGAGGAGTTGGTGACCGCTGAAGATTCTGAGAGCGACTATGGCGTTATGAATTTTGATATGCCAAACATGGACATCAATTTTCTGGCGGAGTTTGATGTCGAGGTGAGTTTTCATAGTTTTCTTCGTCATGTTTTACTACGAGCTGTTGAGCATGAATCACTAGTCACGTGTTTTACACAAATACTACTACATGTACATGTTTGAACTCGGATGGTGAGCCAATATCGTTATGATGAAGAAAGGAAAAGGACAAAATGTTACGAGTTATGACAAACTGTCCACCAACGTAACCAGATCTTATACAGCCAGCAAGTACGACAAAATGGCACAAAACTGACAAGGAGTACTGAGACATTCGGCGACCTGACACCCCGCTCCAACACTTCTCCAAGGCGCAAACCAACAACCTTCCAACTTGGAACCTGAGCCTTCCAAGTTGGAAGCTTGTTGGTTTGCGCCTTGGAGAAGTGTTTTTGTGCGCCTTGCTGTGTGGTTGTGTATATCTTTAGTGGACCTGACAGCCCTGCTTTAGTTAGAAAAGAAAAAAGAAAAGAAAAAAAGAAGCGGGATTCGAACCCAGCATCCCTGTCTTGAGAGGACGGTGCCCTACCCAATAGGTGCTATGTGCATATGAACAGATCTTGCATTGATTCCGTCTCAGTTAGCGTTAAAGAACTTGGATGGATGTGCTGGTTGGATTGAGCAGAATCTGTAGATGTGTTTTTATTATGAATTTGAAGACACCACTGCAGCTGTACTTATGGTTGATAAATATGGTGGTAAAGACACACCTGGCAATATGGCGGTAAACACACGCCTGCCCACACACGCTCTCTAGGCTGCAAAGTTCTGGCACAGAGCTCTCCTTCTCACCACCACCACCATCAGTTCGCGCCTGGCGCCTGGTCGATGCATGGTTGGCGGTATCCGGCATAGCAGGCTGGTACATCAAGTAGTGCATGGCACATAGCAGATGACACAGCAACGACATAGCTCGATTGCGACGTACGTTTCGTCCCCGCTGGACTCATCAGGCAATCTTCTTCTTGGATGTCTTCACATGGAGCTTGACTCGAGAGAATGAATTTGAAGACACCACTGCAGCTGTACTTATGGTTGATAAATATGGTGGTAAAGACACACCTGGCAATATGGCGACCATGCATCGACCAGGCGCCAGGCGCGAACTGATGGTGGTGGTGGTGAGAAGGAGAGCTCTGTGCCAGAACTTTGCAGCCTAGAGAGCGTGTGTGGGCAGGCGTGTGTTTACCGCCATATTGCCAGGTGTGTCTTTACCACCATATGTATCAACCATAAGTACAGCTGCGGTGGTGTCTTCAAATTCATTCTCCCGAGTCAAGCTCCGTGTGCAGACATCCAAGAAGAAGATTGCCTGATGAGTCCAGCGGGGACGAAACGTACGTCGCAATCGAGCTATGTCGTTGCTGTGTCATCTGCTATGTGCCATGCACTACTTGATGTACCAGCCTGCTATGCCGGATACCGCCAACCATGCATCGACCAGGCGCCAGGCGCGAACTGATGGTGGTGGTGGTGAGAAGGAGAGCTCTGTGCCAGAACTTTGCAGCCTAGAGAGCGTGTGTGGGCAGGCGTGTGTTTACCGCCATATTGCCAGGAGTTTTTATTATTATTTATTATTATTTGATGGATTCTCCAAAGGCCGAAGCCTAAATCAAGGGGGTCTCCGAGAATAAAGATACGTGTACAATACGAGTACTATAGGGTGCAATTTGTAAAAGGAAGAAAATATTAAGATGAAAAAAGATTAATGTGAAGAGGTTTATTAAGAAGTCTGAGTAAAAGCAAGCGAAAAAGGTACTGGTAAAGAAGGGGGGTAATCAAGAAGTTAGACACCTCGAGGATGGAATCTATACCTGTGGAAATGGGACTTATTTAACGTTCCGGCTAAATACACCACGGGTTTCAGATATCCTAATCTCGGTAGGCCGGGAGTTCCACGTGGTGATCATGGAATGTAGTAGAGTGGAGCGGAAGCAGGGACCAGTGTGAGTGGGCAGGAGGTAAAAGTGAGGACGTGGTGCACTCTTGGATAGAACTATGTTGAAATTATTGAGGGTTTCCGGGTAATGGCGGGTGAAATGGTAAAACAGTTTTAGGCAATGTATGTGCCTCCGCCGCGCAAGACTTTTCCAGTGTTCCAATAGACACATTAGCAAGGCATGATTGA